CGGTCGTCCCGCAAATTTCCGGACCCTAAGCAAGAGGTAATTTACCACATCATCAAGAAAGAACCGCCGGTCACTGCCCGCAATCGACGGCTACCACCAGACAAACCCGCCGCCGCCTAGACCGAGTTCAAACACATATTATGCTTAGGAAGCTTTCGAGTTTGCAACAGACTACGGTCCCTGTTTTATACGAAGGTCAAATGCACGAGCAGTAGTGAACAGGGCACTCTCGCAAACGAACTTCTGTACTCTGTTCAATGCCTAACTGGGTAATTAAACTAAGGTGTCGCAAGCAGAAGGATGAATCAAAAGGGAAGCAGAGAATTAGACGATTTATGTGTGTGTGTCGGGTTATGTGCACGTGTCAGTTTAGAATGGCCGTCAAGGATGCTGTCAGAATACACAACGTCTCCGCATAATCAAATGATGAGTAAAACCATATCGATTCGGTCGTCTTTTTTCTCGGCTTGTCCTGCGGAGCTGCGTGCTTTGCATGGATTCGTCAGTGAATGTTGGCGGGATATGCTCCGTTCGTCTGATACTTGTGAATAACCTCCGGGAGTTGGCTTGCAACCATCCTCCAGCCGGTAAGTGCCTGGCACACATGCGCGCGTTATTCTTATCGGATCTGATACCGTGGACTATCCTTTTGATGCAGCGGTTAAATTCACGCGCACGAACGTTCCGGGCTGGTGCGGAGTAGTATGCTTCTACTAAGTGGCCTGATGTCGACGGCGACGATCTAATTCATCGGAATTATTGCTTGCCTGAATAGAAAGTGCAGCATTCAAATTTGTCTGAATGGCGCGCCCAAGCATGAATGCAACTGGGGTTTTGTTTGTGGCTCGGTGATATGCGGTTCTGTAAGAAAACAGTGCGTTTAGAACTGCATCCTCCCAAACTATACCAGGTAAGCAACTAGTTTGGATAATCTCTTTCAAAGAGCGATTGAACCGCCCTACCGTGCCTTCTGCCGCTGAATTATACGGCGTTGTACGTGAGTGCCGGATAGCGGGAAGTTGAAGGAACGAATAAAACTCGTGGTTTGTAAACTGCGACCCGTTTGCTTCACTATCGCCTCTGGTGATCCAAAGCGGGAAGACATATTTCATCTATCGAATATTGCTGGTAGCAGTCACCTCTTCCTACAAATGGACTTCCGGCCACTTACTATAAGAGCGGGTCGCCACCAAACAGTTCCTATGATGCTAGGTCGCTAAGCTAAATGGACTTATAATGTCAAGAGCTACCTTGGCCAACGGTCGTATAGGATAATCAATGAGTTTACAGGGGATGAAACCAGCCTTGAACTCTTGTCTGCCCTTTGACATGAAGAGCAGTTATGACCGTTCTTCTAGTTCGCGTGTCACTTTGGGCTACCAGAAGCACGCCTCAACCTTGCTTTTTGTACGAATGCTACCAGGGTGGCTTTCGTGAGCACATAACGTGATCTCTTGTATCAAGTTCCGAGGAGTCACAAACTTTTCATCACGCATTCATCGATCAATGAAACTTCGTAACGCAACACGTGTTACCGACGAAACTCGCTTGTGGTCTGGTTTATTGAGGCCAACCGTTTAGCAGAAACCCCTGAACAGGGCAGTGTCACATCTTCCTACGTGGCCTTTTGGAGTTCTTTCTTAGTCAGGGCTGAGAGTGGTTCATTAGTGTAGGAAGACACCAGTAACCTCTCAATCGCGCCCTCATTATTTTAAGTTTCATTGAGAGACAGAGAGAGCCCATCCGCTACCTGGTTTTTACGTCCGGGATGGAATTTAATTTGAAAATCGTAGGTTAACCATCGTGCATTCCAGCGACGTATCCGAATTGGCCAGTTGCCATTGGTTTCCTGAGTAAGTAAACTAGTTAGCGCTGCGTGGTCCATAAGAAGAGTTAAGCGTCTTCCAAACAAGCACAAATTCCACTTCTCGCAGAACCAGACATAGGCGAGGGCCTCGCTTTCCCCGGCAGAGTACGGAAGCTCCGCCGCCGACAATTTTCTGGAAGCTTAGGTAATAACTCTTTCATGCCCGTTTTGAAGTTAGGATAGTAAAGCACCCAAGCTAATGTTTGATGCAGAAGTAGAGGCAATCGTTGGGCACGTCTGGTCGAAAATCGTCGTGACTTGTATAGAAACAATGCGGCGTTTTATCTCGTCATTTGCATTTTGCTGGGGTAGACAACAAACAAATACACTTTTCTGCTTCTTCAGTTTATGCAGCGGCTCAACAATATTTGTGAATTAATGCATAGAACGTGGGTTGTAAGAACACATACCCAGCAAATGCTTTATTTCAGTGGAGGTCTGTGAGCAAGGCGCCTCGGCGATGGCAAGTGAGTTGACATAATCCGGCTTCACACCGTCATTTGTTATAATGTGGCCCAGGAGCTCGATCTCACTAGCGTTAAATTTGCACTTCTTGAGGTTAATCGGAGGTTAAGGTCGTGTAGTTGACGTAACACAGCATGCCGTCGTGCATCATGTTCTTTGGGATTCTTACCGAATACACAGATGTCGTCCATGTATACTATTTGACCGGGTAAATTGACAGGTGAGTCAACCATATACTGTTACCAAGCTGATGGGGATGAACTCAAGCCCATTGGCAACCCCTTTTACTGAAACAATACGTCCATTGTGAGAAATACGGCCAAAGGTCATGACTCCTAAATTAGAGGCAGGTGAACTAAAGCCTATCTACTATCCAAGTTTGAAAACTATCAGGCGCCGGCTAGTTTAACTAACAGTTAATCCGCGGTTGGAAGTACAAACTTTTTATCAATATTTGCCGATTTAGGGCCTTAGGTCATTGCATCTTCGTACTGTACCGTCCGGCTTGAGGACTGTAACCGTAGGGTGGACCTATTCATAACAGGTAACGTGTTCAATGAGATCACCTGCAATCATCTGCAGTAAGGCTACAGTAAGGCCTCTCTTCTGACTAAAGAAATTGGACTTGGATAAGCAATAGCTACCTGTTTAGCCTCCTTCTTCAGACATAGACGTTGAAAGTTGGAGGAAGTTCGCCCTATTGTTCGTTCAAATAATTTTGGGTACTGAATCTGTAGGTCTGATAGGTTAATTGCCATGATACGCATACGATTTAGGAACGGCGTGACTCCCAGTGCAACCATAGCTTAGCGTCCGAGTAAGGGACGATTATTTCCGCGGGTAACGCACACGGCAACCGATGAGTTCATGGCCCCAAGTTGCAACAAAATCACCAAAAATCCCCGTATTTCTACCGGGGCCGTTGTATAACCGTCAACTCGATAAGCTGAAGGCTGTATAGGCATGTCATGTAGGTGAACGTTATAAAAAGTACTGGGTACCATAGTGATAAGGAAGGTTGAATCAAGTTCCAGGTCAACATGTGTTGTTCTAGCGTGTTCAATAACTGTAACAGTACGAATGTCAAGCATAGGTTGTTTAGGCTCTGGACAATTGAAATGATAGTTAGACACCGTAACCGTGGTATCCGGAAAATACATATTCAGAGGAGAGTAACTGCTTGCTAGCAACGGAAGCTGGAGGATGCAACTGGGAAATACGTACCGAACGACAACAAAGGGCAAAATGTCCAAAAGTACCGCAGATTTTGCAATCCAGTTCTAAGGAGGGGCACTTGATAAAATTGGCTTTATGCTGTAGGCTACCGCAGCAGAAGCACTTCTGTGGGGATTGGAATTCGGTTGGCGAGCGATGGTTATTAGCAACCGCCTGTATGTCTCTACGTGTGGCGAAACATCGCAACTGTTCGGCCGCACATGTTTTGAGGCAAGCTAATTCCACCGCCTTATCCCAAGTCAATTTGGAAGCGTCTTCGGAAAGTAGACATCCTCGAATTCGGATGTTTGTGGTTCCACTAGTCAACTGCTGCACTGGCATTACGCCCTCGATTCTATTTTCAGGTATGGTTGGATACTCGCAGGGTCATACACCGCGAATGAGGTGATCAACGAAACCATCTAGCCTTTCCTATTGTTCCTGTGTAAGTCGGCCGAAATTGAGACAAGCAGTGAAGGGGTTTGTACGTTGTCCCTATGACTTGTCCAGCACCTCTAGTACTTTCGTTAATGTACCTTGTGACTGAAGCTCCAATGCATCAACTTGACGTTGTCCCTTATCACCGAGTAGGTATCTGAGAAACTTCAGTTTCCAGCCTTCAGTGTAGTTAGAAGCCGCAGGTGGTAAGTCAAGGTAGTTTGTAAGCGAGGTTTCCCACTGGGCCCATGCACTCGGTAGGACGTAAGGTCGGAGCATACTAGTACAATGTAGGAAGTTGTAATTCCATGGTGTAGGTTTGTAAGCCGCGACGCCAGTTTGGTATACGGCAGGTTAAATGCACGAGAAGTAAGAAAAAGGTTACGCACGTAAACGCACTGTTGTAATCCGTTCAATGTCTTACTGGGTGAGTAAACTAAGGTGTGACAAGGAGAAGGATGAACCACAAGGAAAGCAAAGAATTAGACGATTTGGGTATGTGCCTGGGAATGTGTGCACACGCCTGTTTAAACAAGCCGTCAAAGATGCTGACAAGTCACACAACAGTCCCTAAAACATCGGGCGGAGACTGGCGGCCATGCGGAAACTACCGTGCACTATACAACGCCACTGTACCGGACAGGTACACGATCCCGCAAATTGCTGATTTCTCCGTCGGTTTACATGGCTAAACCATTGGGTAATTAAGGGCATACACTAGCAACTAAGAGGCATCATGCAAATTCCCATTGCTGATCACTGATACTCACACTTACAGCGACCCTAACTGTTCCTCGTCTTACCTCTGGCTCCCGTGTTTAGCAGCAGTCCTTCTTCATAAGCTACTATCATCTTTGTGCATATACTGAGCTGATATGTCTCCATTTGAAACCAGGAGACGCTATGTATTTTATATATTACTCGTACATAGCAGGATTTAGTTGTAATTTTGTTGTTCTCTATTTCTTTCTTCCCGTGTGGTTGCGTCGTCATGCCTTTTATCTTTTCTTTCTAGCTCGCAATGACTTCTATGGGCTACATATCCGTCATAGTGAATATCGCTCTGCTCAGCGTCTCGGGTGCCATTTATGAGCTGTTACCCCAAATGAGTACCGCACAATCCATTCTACTCCTTGTGGTGGTTGAGGTAAGTGCACTTTCTTGGTCTTTGAGATTACGTCAACGAACACACTGGCAAGGTGCGGAAAACATGTTATTTTGTAAATCTGATAAGGCTTTCATCCCAATAGTTCACAAGCTACATAGCAGAGCCTATTCCGGAAAAACGCCAGACGCGCTTCGCCCTATTGGGGCTCGTCAGTGGCGCGCATTCCCTCGGTCCTCTAAGGAGGATCGAACCCATGACCGCTAGAGGCAGGCGCCAACTAGTCAGCAGCTTAAACCACTGAGCTATGGGGGACGTTGGCTGGGCTACATAATTTGCAAACTAGCTGGGATATAGCACCACCTATCTAACAGTGTCACTGACAGTGGTTAGCCTGTAAGGTGATGACGTCCTCTCACTAGACACTATATCTATAGCATTTGAAACTAGAAGAGGCTTTTATTTTATAGTACTCATGAGTAGTGTGTCTGAGTGATCATCGGAGTTATGGTCTACCTCCCTGTCCGACTAGCATCACCACAGACTTTGGTACCCAAATACAGAATCGCGTTTTTCGAAATCGCAGCAAATTCGATCACAGTCTACGCATATTGTCGTTCTTCCTAAATTAGGTATCGAGACCCATACTGGGAGATTGTATGTACCCACGGCCCGTAGTCTAGAGGTAACGGGCTTGCCTCGTAATCTTGCGGCAGGGTTCGAATCCGCGTATGGATGGGCGTCCTCGCGGTATTCTCAGCCTGCGTGCGACAGGTGGTGGTCGCACCTCAGCGAAGCGCCGTCACGGCGTACAGCTGACACATTATTATTAATAGTATGTACTAACGGACGCCGCGGATTTTTGGTTGTCGTGCTGGACTCCACTTTTGCCTCGGGATTACTGTGTTATACGTGATTTTTCTGTGTAAATTGTGCACCAATATCCTTCTTTTGGTGTATTTTTCAATATGTGCAAATTTGGTGGATGTTCTCTGGCTAATTTCGAAGTTCTCATTGATTGGCCCAACTGCCGTTTGTGTCCGCCATCTTGAATTTGTTCTACGGTAATCGGCCATCATGACCTCCACACCATTAACCCGATACGAAGTACTGTGTGCTAATCAAAATTGCGCTAAGTTAGAAAAAGCAGGGGTGACTTGTACAAACTACGTTGACCGGTACCATTCGAAGTACGTCCAGGTCTGCAGAACCGACACCGAGTTCAACTTGCTTCTATCCGAAGTGGATGACGGCTCCACTAGTAAAATGCGTATTAGCGTTAACACGCGTTAACACGATAGCCTAGTCGCCGAAACTGAACATCGTTTGAATGCAACGGTTCCTACGGTCGAGGCGACAATAATGCAATTTGTACCTCATTCCGTCTCCCTCAAGTTCTGCCTAGAAACCAAGGAAATGGTCCAGGCATTCATAAGGCCACGCCGTACTAGAAACCTTGCCAACCACAAACCAAGTCTTCGTCACGACCGATAGAAGCATGGCTAGCCCCAGTGCCCACATCATCTTAAACATTATATCGAATGATGGTCCGCGGCATGCGGTTTCGGACTCGCCTGTCACTGTGGCCAGCTACAGGACGCCTGTGCCTACAGAGGGACCATGCGTAACTTGCGCTGTACCACCCACAGCTTCATCCACACACCCCATATCCAGTGTGAACCCAAAGGAACAAGACTAGGAAGCATGTGCATGGGAGCCACCTTCCATCAACGGAGGCGGCCCACACTACTTTACAGGCAAACACAAGCACGCTGTATTTGGGGAATCAAGTGCACACAAGGCGGTGGCTGGACCGTAGTTCGCTCCACACTGAGTGCATGGAACCACTCTTCGAGCCTAGCACGACCACAACGAGTGTGCACCTCGTCCGCTCCGGCAACGACCAACTGTCTCGTGGAGCCAGTATGGGAGAGGTAGTGGGTAATGGACAGGCACGCACCTTGTCAACATTCACATCAAGTGCAGCCACACCGGGGATATCAAGCAACAGCTAATCACTTGGAACAACAAGATGAAATATAATTAATCGAATAATGCATACAGATACGGTGGCATGACTGTTCACTAAATGGGCGTATGAAATAAATTGGTTACGAACCGTTCCGCGTTAAGTTCAAGAAGTCAGAGAATTTTTCTTGAGAAAATGTCCCATGAACGCGAAAATGTTATCGAAATTGACTACAATTAGCTTCAGCGACGTGTGCAAGCTTAGAGAAGGTAGTACTGGTAGACATTTATATGAGAAAGAAAAGCATTGCGGCAAAATTGCAAACCCACCATCTTAGCATGCAAGCACGCGGTTATTAAATCGCATGCAGTGTACCTACAAACGTTGCACCGGTTCTGCCTACGTTCTCTGCAGGACCCATCGTGGCTTGGGTGGTGGCCTCTAGTGGCCTCGCTCATGGCTTATTAGCTCTGCCTGACTCAGGCACACGCGACCGGATGTGCTACAGCATCATGCGCTCGATGTCGATGCAGTATAACCTACCAGCTTCAGCCACTTCTTTTCTGCATGCATCAGGTCTTTCTCCCGTACTTCGGAAACTGCCTTCGTGATCAGATCGCGCCACGCACGCCGACCAACCGCCTTCGATCCCATGGCCTGAAGTCTAGATAAGAACGTGAGAGGCTCATTTAGATCATGTCCTGGTATGGTAGCTTTGGTTTCCCCGCATGCCGCTTCCCAACACTCAGCTGACCAGATAATAGTAGTTTCGGTATCCGCGTCCAATCCATACGGCTCATATGATTGAGCCACCTCAGGTGTCTCAGCAAAAGTATGCAGTCCACTGTAAACATTCCACTTTGTCGCAACGCCTCCGTGCCTACAACTCTGTCGCCCCATCCGATGCGCAGAATCCGTGACAAACACTGTTGATGGACTCGCTCGAGATATCGAACATCCCGCCAGTACATCGTTCACGTTTCACTGACGTATAGAAGAACGGACAGCACCAGGGATTTGTACACCATCAGCTTCGTGCCAGCGGTAAGCTGATGGTTGTTCCACACTCGGCACTCTAGCTTCCCAAATGCTGCCGCTGATTTCGAGACGCGGATACGCAGCTCACTGTGAAGCTGCTGGTCAGTCGATATCACACTCCCAGGGTAGCAGAAGAGGGAGGTGGTTTCCAGTACTTCAGCACCATTGCCGATTCGCAGCAATATTGAAGATTGCGCCTCCAGTGAAAGCTGAAAGAGACAGACAGTTTTGCTTGTGTTGATGGTGAGCCCGCAATTGGCCGCTGTCGAAGCCAGAGCACTAGTCATATGCTGCAACTCATCCGCGCTGTATGCAAACAACGCACAGTTGTCAGCAAACAGCAACATACGGTTAGTGGTCTTACAGGCTATGGTTCTCGCACCGAAACGACGGATGTTCAGCAACCTAGCTTCAATACAGTGGTCCACACGAACACTGTAACCACAAGCCGCATCAAAAGCAAAACATCATTACATGAATATATATATATATACATATATACATATACATATGTATATATATCTATATATAAAAAACAGGGCAAGAGCTAGGACACAGCATTGCTTCACACCAGAGACAACTTTAAAGTCGTCTGAGGTCTGTCCACTGAGCTGCACCCTCGATCGCATACCACTGTGCAGACATTCAGTTGAACTTACAAACTTATGCAGACAACCAAATTTACCCAACACCAGCCACAATGCCTCGGGGTTCACCGTATCAAATGCCTTCAGTGTAGGCCAGTCGATCTTTGAACAGTTGTTCAAGAGACAGTCAAAGTAAATTTGCCCGATATGCATTATATCTGCTGTCTGTGCGCAGGTAGCGCCTGAGCTACCAACGATCAACGTCTTCAGCTGCTCCAATCTCGATCCATACACCACCTTCAAGAGGCCAAAGAATTCCTTGTTTTGGCGACGTTTGGCCTAGTATTCCATCTGCTTTGCCTTCCCCGTCCACCATGCATTTCTAATGCGATGGAGCTCTTGGTTTACGAAACCAACTATTCTTCCCCAACTAAATCGGGTCTGCCACATGTGCAGCAAATGCTGCATTCTTCTCCGACACCAATGCGCCAATCGTCGCATCGATGTCATCAAACTAATCAGGCCGCTTACAGTTTGCGCGCCTGATGGTCGACTCGGCAGCAGCTGTCACCTGGTCGCGAATGTGGTGCCACAGATCGCCCACTGTGGCTATACAGTCCACATCACCACACAGGCGTGCAGCCATCGCCTTCTCCAGCTCAGTACGTTTCGCCACAGTACCGAGGGAGAGAATGTTAAATTTACGCCGATTCACGTCGGGAATGCAATACATAGATTTGCGACAATATATGTACAGTTTGATCCTCACCAATTTGTGATCAGTGCCACACAGCTCCACGCAGTACACGTGTCATGCGCACTTGACACATATCACGCTCACGTACGATGACGTAGTTGAGCAGGCGAGCGTGATCACTCCGTGGGTGCGCCCAAGTTACTACATCACTCGCACTCAGTGCAAACCGAGTGTTCGTGATCGTCAGGCTGTGGGTGGCACACAGTGAGATCAGCCTGTTACCGTTCGCATTCGATGAACCAATGCCATGCGGACCGATAACATCTGTCCACACCGATGCATCACGCCCAACGCGCGTGTTGAAATCACCCAAGGGAAATAGTCGGTCACTCCTCGGCACAGACCGTATCACGGAGGATAGCTTGGTGTAGAATTGATCACGCGTGTCATCAGGATAACACATGGTCGGACCGTACGTGCTTATGAAAGTAGCAAACTTACCTCTTCCGAGTAGTAGGCGAATAGTTATCAGTCGCGCGCTGATGCCTGTTGGTTCACCCACCAGCTGGCCATGCAGGCGATCGGATATTGCAAATCCGACCCCATGTTCACGTGGTGCTGAGACGGAGTTTCCTACCCAGTAGAATGTGTAGCCAGCACCTGCTTCATGCAACTTACCTTTCTCAGCGAGCCGAGTCTAACTGAGTGCCGCAATACCGATGTTATAGCGCGCCAGTTTCATCGCGACTAG